ATTCAGGCCGGATTGAGAAGAGGACATAGAACCAAAAAATATCATGGCCGACCTCAGGGGGCTCTTGGCTGAGAGCAGAGAATGCCAGAAAGATGATTCCTTGTATTTTATTGACTGTGTCAAGGCGTTTGACTGTGTGGATTATAACAAACTATGAATGGCCTTGAGAAAATAGGAACCCCAGAAATTGTCTTTTCTTTTCTTTTTTTAAGTTTTAGAACTTTTCATTATGCTCATGGGGATACTAAACATGGATCAAGAGGTCGTTGTAAGTACAGAATAAGGGAATATGATGGGTTTAAAATCAGGAAAGGGTTGTATCTCTCATCATACTTATTCAATCTATATGCTGAGAAAAGTATCAGAGAAGCTGGATTATAAGAAGAATGCAGCATCAGGACCCGAGGAAGGCTTATTAACAACCCGCAATATACAGATGACACAACCTTGCTTACAGTAAGTCAGGAGGACTTGAAGGACTTACGAATGAAGATCAAAGATTGCAACCTTCACTATGGATTACAACTCAATGTAAACCAAACAAACCCACTAGCATCAAATAGTTTCTGACTCATAGCAACCCTATAGAATAGGGTAGAAATCCTGTGGGTTTCCGAGATTGTAACTCTTTACGGGAGCAAAAAGTCTCATCTTTCTCCAATGGAGTGGCTGGTGGTTTCAAACTGCTGGCCTGGCAGTTAGCAACCCAATACGTAACCAATATGTCTCACAACTGGACCAATAGGTAACATTAAGATACATGGAGAAAACATTGAAGTTGTCAAGGATTTCATATTGCTTGGATCCATAATCAACGTTCATGGAGGCAGCAGTCAAGAGATCAAACAAACATGACATTGGGTAAATCTGCTGCACAAGGCCTCTTTGAAGTATTGAAAAGCAAGGATGTTACTTCGAAGCCTAAGGTACATCTGACGCACCCCATTGTATTTTCAGCCACCTCATATTCATGTGAATATTGGACACTGAATAAGAAAGAAGAAAAACCTATCCACTTCAACTATGGTGCTGGCAAAGAAGACTGAAAGTATCATGGACTGCCAAACAGTCACATCCAGCTTGGAAGAAGCACAGCAAGAATGCTCTTTAGAGGCCAGGCTGTCGGGAATTCGTCTCAAGTACTTTGGACTTGTTATCAGGAACCACCAGTCCCTGGGGGTGGGTATCATGCTTGGTTAAGTGTAGTGGCAGTGGAAAGAGGAAGACCCTCGGTGAGATGGATTGACACGGTGGCTGCAACGATGAACTCAAACATAAGAACAATTGTAGGAATGGCAAAGGGGCAGGAGGTGTGTCGTTCTATTGTACATAGGGCAGGAATTGACTCACGGCAGAGAACAACGTCAACAGATAAAATCCTATTGAGTAATAAATCTGTCACTTACAAATTTAAAGACCTTCATTATAAATCTTGATTCCATCGTGTAGTTACTATTAAAGCCTACGATATTTTTTAGGTCTCAGTTTTTTGAGTGTGGGTCCTTGATTAGTCCATAGGTAATAAGCTGTTTGTGGTTTATGTCTTTCTCTACTCTATTCCTTGTCCATGAGTTTAAAACTTCCATACTTGCTCTTTATTTTCTTTCATTTTTTCTTTCCCATTAAAAACGATGCATAATTCACTTGTATCATAATATAAAAGTCTGAAGTTTTTACACATGTACATCCCTGTTTATCTGCAATCCAGAACAAGAAATGAGTATTTTTATCCCTGCAGGAAGTTCCCTTGGCATACTTCCAAACAATCACTACCATCCCCATTGTGACGTAACTACTGCTCTAGTTTCCATCTCTATATGAATATTTGTTGTATCTGTTCTAGAACCTCATATAAATGGAATCGCAATGTCTTTAATATCTAACTTTATTAGGTCAGATATTGTGAGACCATTCTATCCATTGTTTATTTTCATTGCTAAGTAATGGTACCACACTTTATCCTATCACCTGTTGTTTTCAGTTTTGACATAGCCCAAAGAAAGCTACCATGAACATTTGCACATCAGTCTTTGCATAGTTAGATCTTTTTTATTTCTCCTGCATAAATACTTAGGAGCGGACTGGCTGAGTTACGTAGAAGGAATATATTTTATAAAACTTCCTAATATCTTGTACTGTTGATCTAGTCTCTGTTTTCATTGTTCTTAACGTGGTAAGCCATGGAAATACAGAGGCAGCGGTAATTTTATCTGCTAACTTTAGTCACTAACAAAGACAGATTGATGTCAGCTGCACCCTAGGCACAGCGCCACTGCAAAACCCAGGACGATCCCCACAGCAGCTGTTTCTGAGCGTAATTAATGGCTATCGTTTAATGACATTTTAGTATTCTCGTGTGACCAGCTGCTATTTCTCCTCTAACTAAATTTAACAACCAATGGACCAAGAGCAGTCACTTTTTAAAATACAGAGTGGTTTCTGTTGAGAAGGCTGAACTTGTGCCCTACTGCAAAATGTTTTCTTATTACTGATATGTGTGCATGCATTCGAAAGGCTCATATTAATTTATTATATTAGCCTCTGAGCCTTTGTGAAATGTGACTTTTATGTTGTATCTTAGGCAATAAATTTCTAAGATCTCCTGGAGTCCTAAGAGGAAGTTTGATTTCTATTCTGGTTGGGAATTCCTTAGGACAGATACGGGGGACAGAGAACAAGCCATAAGTGCTACCTGAAAGGTGAGGCATCTGAACTGATCTAATCTTTAAATCAAAGCAAGTAGAAATGGAAGTAGTTGAGCTGGCAGTAGAAGACAATAAGGTATGCCCCATGGGGTAACGGGTGCCTCAAACATTACAGGTGGAAAGGGAGTTCTTCTGAATACATTTTCTTCTACATTCTCCTAGTTAGGATGTTGGTCTTTAGTCATTGGAGGATAGACATGTGCTGTACGAAAGAGATAGTACCTGGGCTTATAATTTTAACAAAGTTTGAAAATGAAACTATTATTAATAGTTGTATCTTTGGTCATTGTGCTAGTCTGACTAGACTAGAGAAACAAATTCATAGAGATGGAGAGTGGATGCTTGTTAGCCTCTGCTTGGTATTCTTGCTGACAAAACACATGGAGTTACACTAGAGTCCTGGAGCTGGAGGAGCCACTTGGAGACCCACGCCAGCGCTGAGATGCTTCCACCGCCACTGGATCCACAAGACTTTTCACTCACTGGCCTGTGATCTTCCTGCAGTCGGCGTCACTGCATATGTTGCATGAGTCTGAAGAGGAATTTACAGATGGGTACTGGACTTATGGACTTGATCTGAACTGGGCTGGGATGTTTTCTTAATGCACAATTACTCTTTATATAATGACATGACGTGGGGTTGTACATGGGGTGGCTCTCACAGCACCTAAAAACAATTGTCCTGAATCAAATAAACCAGGGGTCCTGCTTCATTTAAGCAAAGCCCAAGAAAAACCACACCTACTGCCTTTGAATCAATTCTCTCAGGAGCCGACGATGTCATCTTTCTTCCCACCAGGGCTGATGAGCCTCAAATACGGACTCTGTGGTTAGCCTTAAAGGTCTTTGTCTGTCTGCGCCTGTGAGCTGCAAGGCTGGCTTCCTGTGTATTTCTTTCTCCTTCTCCAGTTACATCTTCTCATTTCAGAAGTTTAGAGCACCATGGACTGGTTACTTCATGCCTGAGTTTTAATCTATGCTTAATGAAGGATTATTTAACAAAGATTCAATCTTATTCCCCCCCTCTCCTTGAAACAGTGTCCACTTAAAATGTTAAACGATTTCACAAGAAGTACATGATAATGGTCAAAATATAAAGCTACTCAAGAAGGGGGGTAAATTACAATGACACATCCTGGCTATAACTACTGTTAATAATTGTTGGTGTAACTTTCCAGAGACCTCATTATACACATGCCTTTCTGTCTGTATTGGTACAGTTATAAAACTTTGGTAAACAGTATTCCACGTAGAGTTTAGTAACTCTTTTTCTACTTAAAGGATTTCTTGAACATATTTTTTGTCATTATTCTCTTGCAGGTTAATTTTAAAATACATTGCATCTCACGATATTGATATTCCATTGTTACACCCTGACCGGAGGGGTGTCCCCTTCCACTCTCAACCAAGACCTTCTCAGACTACCCCCATACTGAATCTAGCTTAGCCTTCTTAGGGTCTTTCTGAGCCAGGTCTCCAACTCATCAAGGGGGTAGATGCATCCAGCTGCGCCCAGCATCTACCAGCCTCTGAGGGTGTAACTTGCCCGTCTGTCTGCTGCCAAAACTGTGCCCCCACCACCCCACCCCGAAATGCACGTGCCAAAGACTTCTGCCTAGGAGTGCTAGGCCTGGGGGACGAATGTAAGACGACCAGAAGTCCCGCTTTTTGGCGTTTTAAAACGGTCCCGATTTTTGGAAAGAATGCACGACAAGCTAGGGAACGGTCTATTTGGTCCATATAGACGAAATTTTTCATCAGGAACCCCACCCCCGTCAACGGTGTCCCGCTTTAAATCCGGTCACCGTTTAATTCCTTCGGGGTTGCATAACGTGCAGGGCTGAGTGGCTCAAGTTCAGACGCCACGTTCTGAGCGTGACTCGCCGGCGCGACCGGTCCCCAGGGCGCTACACTACGGGCCTCAAACGGCCGTGGGCCTTCCCCCCTCCCCCCACCTCTGTTTGGAGCGAGGGCCGAGCTGGATCGACCTCGGCGACTCGGGTGGTCTGGGCTGCAGCCCACCGGCGCCTTGCCCGGCTGTGGGCTGCTCGTGCACCGCTCAGCGGCCGCCCTTGGAGCCCGCAGGATAGAGGTTCACCTTGGCCCTCAGGGTCGCACTTGCGGCGCGGCGCGGGGAAGCCCGGGGTGCGGATGCCAGCCCCGCCCCGGCGGACGGTCCCGCCCGCGGACTACATTTCCCATCGGCCCCCGCGGCCGGGGCGGCCGGCGCGGCTGGCTGGGGCGAGTTGGCGGGAGTTTGGAGGCAAATTCCTCGGGCGTCCGAGGCGCGCAGTGGGGAGGTGGATCCGCTCGAACCCCACAGCTGAGGCTCCCGAAGCAGACGGTGAGGTTCCGCGCTGTTTGCGGGCCTTCCCATGGGGCCGGCGGGGCCGGCGTTCGCTAAAGTAAAACAGTGGGATGAACTTGGCGCGTGAGGACGGTGCGGTCGGGTGCGGAGGGGGCTGGTAGGGCGGTTCCGCGGGAGGCGGGTACGTGTGGGCGCTGCGCTCTTGGGGTACACCGGGGGGTGGGCAGACGCCGGGCGGCCGCGCGCTGCCCCGAGCGCGTGTGGTTCGGGACTGGCCTCGCTCGGGAGACAGCGGGGGGCGGGGGCGGGATCGGAGGTCAACTGGGTCGCCGCTCCGTGCCCTACGGCGCCGTGCGACACCCGGGACCCAGCCCGCGCGCAGCGTCTGCCGCCTGGCGACCCCTGGCCATTGACCGGGGCCCTGGTCCTTTTGTGACAACTCCAGGTGGCCACGTCGCCAACTCTGAGTTTGGGCGAAAACTGAGAACCGAGTGAGGGTTTCGTCGTGTGCTCTGGAGCCGAGCTGCTCAGACGTCTCACGCTTGCAAGGTTGGAAGTTCAAAACTCCTGCAGGGTGAGTTTTCTGTGGGAGACAGAGAGGCGGTCTGCTCCCGTAAAGATTCACAGTCCAGGAAACCCAATACCGTGTCGCCCAGAGTCCAGTAGCTCTTCCTGCATCCGAGCCAAATCTCTTCTGCATTCTTTGCATTTTTAGAAAAAATTCCTGGCGACGCCTGGAGGGTGGAGGGAATGTGGGGTTGAAAGGGGGGGCCGATTACAAGAATCTACGTATAGCCTCCTCCCTGGGGGATGGACAGCAGAGAAGTGGGCGGTGGGAGACGTCGGACAGTGTAAAATATGACCAAATAATAATTTATGAATTACGAAGGATTCATGAGGGAGGGGGCAGTAGGGAGGGAGGGGCAAAAATGAGGAGCCGATATTAAGGGCTCAAGTAGAAGGCAAATGTTTTGAGAAGGATGAGGGCAACATATGTACAAATGTGCTTGACACAATGGATGGATGGATTGTGATAAGAATTGGATGAGCCCCCAATAAAATGATTTAAAAACAAGAAAAAGAAAAAATTCCAAAAAACAAACTCGTTGCCATTGAGTCGATGACTACTCATGGCGACCCTGTCCATAGGAAGGACAGGATAGAACTGCCCCTGTGGATTTCTGACGCTGTGACTCTTTCCAGGAGTGGAACGCCCCAGCCTTCTCCCGGAGGGGCTGGAGGATTTGAATTGCTGCACAATGAATAATATTTCCCCCCCGGGGCGGTGGTTTCTGGAGTTTGGGGCCCCTACTGTTTTCTATCTTTAACCTCTAAGTTGCTGGAGATTAAGGACCCTAGAGGTGCCCCCATGGAGCCCTGGTGGTGGAGTGGTTACACGTTGTGCTGCGATCTGCATGGCCAGCAGTTCAAAACCAACAGCAGCTCCGAGGGAGAGAGACTGAGCTTTCTACTCCTGTAAACCGTTCCTGTCTCGGAAACCTACAGGGGGTCCTTAGGAGTCAGCATGGACCTGATGCCATCTCCGGGAGTTTTTGAGAAACATGACCCCAGCCTAAAGACAGGCGTTTGGGACACTGACCAATTGGATCTATTTAGAGCTGTGTCTTGGGTGTCTCAGTCTCAGTCAGATGCTGGACATGGAAGGGACCCAAGTCCGTCTCCTGAGGAGGAGGCTACAGAGTGGGAGTCTCCCCCAGGATGCCCACTTGGCATCATAAGTCTCGTGCCACGCCTTGAAGCTGGAAATGACCTAGCTGCCGGCTTCTCTGATCTTCTCAGGGCCAGCGGCGAGGTAGGGGTTTGTTCTGATTTATTCTGACCCCTTTCGGACTCCAGAAGAGGCTGATTGATACCTGATGTCGTATGGTTTTTAAACCTTTTTTTTTCTTTTCTGAGAACCCAGAAGAAGAAACCGCTGCAGTGCATCAACAATCATGATGGAGGTAAGTTTGATTTGGCACTTTCTTCTCGAAAAGGACGTGTTGATTTTCAGGTCAGAGGAACATTTGTTAATAGTGTTATGGCAAAGAAAATAATAAGCGACAGTACTGAAGAATGAGTATACCAGGAGATTGTTAATTGTATTCAATTGCTAATACTACCCAGGGATTTGTAGAACGTTCTGAAAGGTTCTGTCCGGGAATTTGCTTGTCTTAGTGACTCAGCTGTAAAACTGGCTCCAGGCTATCCGGTTTACATTGTTTCATGTGATCTGCATTTTCTATTTCCCTGCGTTTTGTTCATGTCCAGAGCAGTCTTGATGGTGAAAGTGTTTAATTGAAGATACTTTCCCAGTCATGTTGAAGAATGGGTTCAGGTTACTTGCGTCAGTTCTCCCTAATTTCTTTGGCATTCCCTCCTCAATCAAATGAAGTCATCTATTTGTTTAAATCACCGCTAATCCCCACCTCCTCTGTCAGCGCGAGTTTTCCCCAACACAGAAATAACCCTACAGTTCTTTTCAGTGATTCAAGTAACAGAGCATTCCTGCCAGTATTTTTATTAATGTACTAAGAAGGTTTTTTACCCTGGTCCCACCGTCCAGAAATAATCATTGTTGATGTTTCCAAATTATTTTCAAGTTTTAATTATGTGTATGACTTTTGGTTCCAGAGTAGAACCTTGCTAATAGTGGAAGCAATTAACTTCTTAAATAAGTACTTTGTGCCTACACATACAACACACCCTTAGCCTCTTTGAAATCGGGTTAATTTTATAATCCTGGCAAATTATAGTTTAATTTGCAGTATTTTTTTTTCTTTTCTTTGTCAGTGGCAGCTCAGAATCAATGAAATCGATATTCTGAATTGAGCAACAAGGAATTAGATTCTGAGTACTTGTGCAACTTACCCCCAAATCGTACAGTTTATAAATGAGAGAACTAGGATTTATCCATTGTTAACTCATTTCCTGTGCCTCTTTGTCACTTGTGAATTATGTGGGAAATTTTTTCATGACTATTTTATTTTTCACAGTTCAGTGTTTTTAAAATATATCAGATCAATCAACTCATTTCTCAAAATGGCTTCCCCCTTCGTCATGCCATAATGCCTTCTCTTACCACAAAAATTAAGAAGTCGTATTCCTTTAAAGAACTTTTTGTCCAAGCAATTTAATTTTTAATGTTTCTGATGTGAAATATTACTATGTTAGCTGTCATATTCCTGGTTTGGGTTTTGATTTTGTTTCCTATGACTTTGGAGTAATTTGAGATAATATTTTACTGTTTTTTTATTATTAATCATTTTATTAGGGGCTCATACAACTCTTATCACAATCCATACATACATCAATTGTGTCAAGCACATTTGTACATTAATTGCCCTCATCATTCTCAAAACATTTGCACTCCACTTATGCCCCTGGCATCAGGTCCTCATTTTTTCTCCCCCTTCCCCCCTCCCTCATGAACCCTTGATAATTTATAAATTATTATTTTGTCATATCTTGCCCTGTCCGACGTCTCCCTTCACCCACTTTTCGGTTGTCCATCCCCCAGGGAGGAGGTCACATGTAGATCCTTGTAATCGGTTCCCCCTTTCCAACCCACCCTCCCTCTACCCTCCCGGTATGACCACTCATACCACTGGTCCTGAAGGGATCATCCGCCCTGCGTTCCCTGTGTTTCCAGTTCCTATCTGTACCAGTGTACATCCTCTGGTCTAGCCAGACATGCAAGGTAGAATTGGGATCATGATAGTGGTGGGGAGGGGGGCGGCAGGAGGAAGCATTTAGGAACTAGAGGAAAATTGTATTTTTCATCATTGCTACATTGTACCCTAACTGACTCATCTCCTCCCCGAGACCCTTCTGTAAGGGGATGTCCAGTGGCCTACAAATGGGCTTTGGGTCTCCACTCCGCACTCCCCCCCTCATTCACTATGGTAAGATTTTTTGTTCTGATGATGTCTGATACTTGATCCCTTCTACACCTCGTGATCGCACAGGCTGATGTGCTTCTTCCATGTGGGCTTTGTTGCTTCTTAGCTAGATGGCCGCTTCTTTATCTTCAAGCCTTTAAGACCCCAGACGCTCTGTCTTTTGATGGTCAGGCACCATCAACTTTCTTCACCACATTTGCTTATGCACCCATTTGTCTTCAGCCATCGTATCATGGAGGTGAGCACACAATGATAGGAATTTTTGCTCTTTGATGCCTAATAACTGGTCCCTTCAGCACCTGGTGATCAGACAGGCTGGTGTGCTTCTTCCATGTGGGCTTTGTTGCTTCTGAGCTAGATGGCCGCTTGTTTACCTTCAAGCCTTTAAGACCCCAGATGCTATATCTTTTGATAGCCGGGCACCATCAGCTTTCTTCATCACATTTGCTTATTCACTCGCTTTGTCTTCAGCGGTTGTATCAAGAAGGTGAGCATCATAGAATGCCAATTTAATAGTATTCTTGCGTTGAGGGAGTCCTTGAATGGAGGCCCAATATCCTGCTACCTTAATACTAAACCTACAAATATATGCACGTAGATCTATTTCCCTATTTTACTCTGTTTTCTGAAAAGGTTCACACAGCAGTTTAGGTTCCCATGCAACAATTTCTGAACAAATTGGTCAGTCACATGGGTCACATTCTTTATAGTGCGTGCACTTTCTCATGATTTCCACTCTGGTTTGTTCTGTGGAGCAATCAATTTTTGTTTTGTTTTGTTTTGTTTTTAATCATTTTATTGGGGGCTCATACAACTCTATCTTTTGATAGCCGGGCTCCATCAGCTTTCTTCACCACATTTGCTTAGGCACCCATTTGCCTTCAGCGATCATATCAGGGAGGTGAGCACACAATGATATGTTATTTTGTTGTTTGGTGCCTGAGAAGAATAATCAGTTTTAAGGAACAGCTTGTGAAATTCAAGATTGTGTTTTCTGGATGTGTCTGAGGTGATCCTTCATTAAGTCTGACCAATTAACCCTAACCAAGTAAGAAATACTCTTTCTTCTCTCTTTGACGTTTCTCTGAATGTTGTGTGACCATCTTCTTGAGTTGGTCTTTCCCTTTCCATTCAGGTCAGAACTTCCCTACGCTCCTCGGACGAGGACTGCGCCTTCTCCATTCTCAGTAGCTTTAGTGGGGAAGGAGCTACCGTTTCCCTATTCCTCCTCCTTTCTTTCTTTCCTGCCGTTTTTCTCCGCAGTGATGATGGCCCTTTCTCCACATTAAGGGTGGATACGCACTGTGGTAAGGAGCCCTGGTGGTGCTGTGAGTTGGGCATTAGGCTGCTAACTGCAAGGTCCAATATTCAAGCTCCCAGCCCCTCCATGGGAGGAAGATGAAGTTTTCTGTTCCCATAAAGACTTGCCGTCCTGAAAACCCTAAGGAGCTCTACTCTGTCCTTTCTGTTTTATCCTGTGAGAATTGATTCTGGGCAGTGGGATTTTCATTTATGTACTATGGTAAAAGAGTAGATAGGATCTTACCCATTTCCGCCATTTGTTGTGTAAGCATGGGCTTCCTCTATTATAAAACAGGGCTGTTGTGTGCATGATGGCCATGGGAATGCACTAGAATGTGTTTGTACCAGCAATCCTTCTTCCCAGTCTCCTCAACGTCCAGTGAGGTCTCAAGCCTTATTACTTCTAGTCCTTTTCCGATTCTTGAGTTCCTCACTCTACTGTCATTGTGCCAGAGCAGGCCTGTGACCGTGGATAGTGTATTGATCTCCTAATTGGGATTTCTGGCTCTACTTGTCACTCTCACTCACTGCCATTGAGTCAATGTCGAGTCATAGAAACCCCCTGTTGGTTTCTGAGACTATAACTGTTTACAGGGAGCAAAGAGCCCAATCTTTCTCCTGCGGAGCTGCTAGTGATTTTGAACTGCTGACCAAGTGGATTGAAGGCGTAGCCACTATACTACCAAGGCCCTGGCTCTACTTTTACTTCTTAGCAAAGTAGTTCAGCTGCCCATGATTTTATGCAAGGAATCCCTTTGACTTTCAAGCTAACAGTCCAACTCTTTTATAGTTGTTGCATATTTACCAGAAAGCACATTCTCTAGTACAACACCAAGCTCTGGGGTGAAGTGGTGAGCAAAGGGTAATGTGTTAAGTCCTGCCAGGGATAGCTGCCATCAAGACATTTCGGACCTGGCCCTTCTTGTCAGCTTCTCCAAAATCACTCACTGTACTAGTCCCCCCAACCCCTTATCAGTCACCCCAGTTAGCTGTGTGCTCATCCAGCACAAGGGATGTGCATAGTCTCCCTCCACCTTCTGTTCACTCTATTTAGAGTGCTGGTCAATCCATTTTCTGCTTGTTTGGGTTCTGTTTCCTTAGTAAGTCCCATTTAATTTTGCTACCCAAAACTTTCTCCATATCCTCAGTCGAGTAAAGTGACCATTTCTAATAACAAGATTCTTCTATTTTTCTTTAGTGTCAATTTAATCTGCTTAAAACTCTTAAGACTTACCATCTGTGAGAATAAGCCCAAGTGTCTCGTGAGCTTTACTTTCAGCCACATCGCTCTCTAGTTCTTTCTCTCTCTCACTCTAGTCTACCCATGTTGAACTACTAGCAGCTCCCTCGATGCACCGTGCTATCTCCTCCTTTCATTGCACAAAGCACACAAAAGGCACGCTTCTGGGTTCTGCTGGACCCAACTCATGAACCAACTTATGCAAAGCCTCTTTCAGGGCTTTAATAGGGGTTGGTAGCATTGAGCGACTACATTCCCCTCTGCTGTTGTTTTTTTTTAATCATGTTATTGGGGGCTTGTACAACTCTTATCACAACCCATGCATACATCCATTGTGTCACGCACATTTGTACATTTGTTGCCCTCATCATTCTTAAAACATTTGCTTTCTACTTGAGCCCTTAATATCAGAATCTCCCCCTCCCTCCCCGCTCCCCCTCCCTCATAAATCATTTATAAATGATTATTATTTTGTCATATCTTACACTGTCCAACATCTCTCTTCACCCACTTTTCTGTT